AGCCTGTTTCAAAAAGGAATGGATTGAATGAATGAGTAAATGGATGGGTAGATGGTTGGGTCAGTTTAATATGGACGCTTGATGCATTGAATGGGATATTGAAATGAGAGTGTGAGTGAATATGTGAACGAATGATAGTTTCGTTAAAGTTCATTTTGATCAACATGAGTGTCCCGTGATTTATCATCCAAAAATTCATAATAGATTTTGCAACTTTGATTGAATCATGTTGATAAGAAGCAGTACAAAAGTTAGTATTTTTATTTACTTTGAAAAACGAAAAAAAAAAACCAAAAAAACGAAACGGATTCTAATTGTGTACTGACCTTGGCAGCTCGGGAGGAATAGGGATTCTCAAACAAGTCCCAGACTCGCTTCCGTAGGCGTAACCACTTTCTTTGGTCAATTTGCTGCTGCTCCAAGTCACGTGCGACCAAAGCAACGTTTCTTTGAAAGACGCTTTTGATCTTCTTCATATTATCAATGACCTCCATTTCTTGTTGATAGTAATGATGACAGCATTCAGCAACGTCCTTCAGTAATATCCCCCAGTATTCGCATTCTCTTTGGAAATGCTCCACGCACACATTCCTTGGAATGTGGATTTTCCCTTTCTGGTAAAAGCACAAGACGCTGTTGAACACCACAGCATCGCGTTGAAAGAAATATTCTTTCTTCTCCTCGTCGTAGTCATCGCACACGCCCTCCCAGCTCTCGTTTTCAATCAAGCACTTGTGGAGTTTCTCCAGACGTGTTAAGTGTCTCATCTCTATTAAGGACCACATCACTTCGAATCTTGACCCACTGACATTTAGAAGTGCTTTGTCGGGGATGGTAATTGCTTGGGGATGAGCGCTTTTACGAGAAGATACATTCACATCATTGCGCTCCATGCAGCAACAACGAAACGTGCTTTAGTGAAGCACACTGTAATGCTTCTCCATTAACTCTCAAACCTTGGAGCTTCTCAACACCGGCTTTACATTTCTTTCAATTTCAAAATTGCTATTTCATTCTTACTCAAAACATTCGAATGGTAAATCAATATTTGTAATAAAAATCAACGGTAATTAAAGGATAACGACGTTGTGACGTAATTGATGACGTGTAATTAGCTCGCGCACGCGACGCACTTTGATCTGACAGAGCAGGATGAAATCTCTGGTAACATGGATTCCATATATAGGACCATACCATCTAATCAAAATGTTTTGATTCAAAAGCCTTGTAAGACGTCTTAGTTAAGATTCTTTCCCACTCGATCGCGAACCCCTATTTAGTATTTCTTGCCTCAAATGAGTTCCAGGAATATAAAAGAAAAAGGATAAGCAAATCTCGACCTGACTAAAGATAAGAGGATTTATTGAAGACGTCGAGATAAAAAGAACGAAAGTTTATAGATTGCAAATTATCGATAATATCTAGCTAAGGGTTATAGACCTAGCCGTCAAAGTCCCCTTAGAAGATGATAACTAATGATTTTAGGATAAGCCTTGAATTGAGTCCAAGTTTCAGTAATTGCTATCGAAAACCATTGTCTAAATCAGGATTACTAGCCAATTGTTTTCTTCGGGGCTTCTCAGCCAAACTTCGGCGCGCGCGCTTTCCACAGATAAGAAATAACCAAGGTTAAAGTAGAGAATATTACGCAGAAAACGATTTAAGATTTAACAAGATCAAACTACACAATTGGAAAGGAATGTTGTAAATGAGAGCCCTTGTTCGGGGGTTAAAATGTTAAGTAAAAATCGTGTGGGGTAGAAAGAAAATATTGACATCCTTAATCAAGCAGGCATCAAAAAATACATCAGACGATTTTTAATAAGCTTTTCTATAGATATACATGAAGAAAGTGCAAATAGTGATGTACATTATGACCCTAAAGAATTTTTTGTCTTCCCATTTCAGATCATATCCGCCATTCCCTTGAGCATCATTTCATTGTTTACCAATATCGCTCGAGAAAAACATTAATATGTATAATGTTAATGGGAATGACACGTGCTGAAATAGGAAAAACTGTACCCAAACCAATAAGGTATATTAACATTAACATGCTATATTATTATAATTAAGATCACCATGAATTAAAAAAATAACTGTTATATTCAACAAAGATAACACCCCATGAAAACCGATATGTTTATTGGGTTCCGTGTTGTTATTTTTGGAGAGAGGAGGAGGGGGATGCGTTGTAGTTTATTAGTATCATTTTTTTGTTTGTTACATTTTCGATTTGCCAGAAATGGTTGAACGTAGATGTATAACTAAATACTATTTATTTCCCTAGTTGATTGAAGAGAGAAAACATAAAGGAAAGTAAAGGAGGTCAATGATTGTATCCACCACGGCCCGGTTGTACGAAGGGTAGCGCTATACGACGGATAAATCTTATCCATTGGATAAATTTATTGGATAACAGCATTCGACTTATCCACAGGATAAGGATTTATCCCTTGGATAGCGCTATTCACCCTTCGTACAACCGGGCCAGTTCCTCACAGCCAGTCGTTGGGGCGAGATCTTGTACAAAGAAGGTTGAAACTGGTGCAAATTGGGGAGAAGCTGGTGTAAATAAGTGGGGAATGGTGCAATTGGGACGCTGGTGATAATTGGAGGAAACTTGTGTAAGGTACAAACGGGCGAATTGGTGAAAATTGAGAGAAACTGTTACAAACTGAGAAAGAACCTGGTGGAAAATTGGGGAGAAGCTGGTGCGTATTAGGGTTAGCGGGTGCAAATGGGGAAAGCGAGTGACAATCGGGGGAAGTAAAGGAAAATCTCGTGCAAATTGAGGGAACTGGTCCAAACTGCAATCTGGTGGAAATTGGGGCGAAGGCGGCGGTACAAATTAGGGAGAAATAGTTATGGCATAACATCGTAAATACTATAACAAGTTCTAAACTGTACTATATGGAGGCACATCAACATCCTTAAATGTATGTTCAACTACTCTAGCGTAAACAATTTCAAGTTTTAGAGTTAAGGCATTTAACCCGCGAAATAAAAAATACTAGTCAACGTGTAATAGTCAAATAGACACAAAAGAAAACAATGGAATTACGATATACTAATGTGTCACCGTCGAATATCTATTTCACGGCTTTAATGACTTTGCTCTAATATTCGATAAACTATCTTTCACGTATAGTACATTATTGTGAAATTCCATTTAGGTGGAATCGCTAATCATAACCCTGTTCCGTTGCATTGCGTTTGCGCTTGACTTGTCGACGAGGCGTCGTTGAGAGGGAACGACGAAAAGCAGCCGGATTTGGCAGCTGCTTCTTTGGACGTAGCTGATTTACAAATTTCAAATGAAACAAAATACAAAAATTAGCTATTAGTTTGAAAACGTTTATAAACGTTCTGAGACGGGTTCACTTTTATTACAAGCAATTGCCCACTTTAGAAACGAGTTGGGGACTTGGAACGAGTTTTTAGAATTAACATAGTTAAAAATAAACACCATGACAAGGAACAGTACATCGAAATTAGTAAATTTCTGGAGTTTTCAAGATTCGGGGTTTTATACCTTTTGTGTAGCAACCTCCCAGACGTCTCAAAAATGACAAAGAAATGTATGGTTACTGGGGACGCTTGTCCCTAGTAAACGTACATTTCTTTGTAATATTAGACAACATCCGGATGAAGAAACTATGAAACTCTTACCTTGTCAAGTCTATCTTGATAGTACTTATGCACCTCGAATGCATGTGCAATTGTCAGCATCTTCGGGAACAGAGTTGGAATGACTTCTTTAATTTTCAAATCATCATTAACGGCTCTTATACTTATAGGCCATAGAGACAGGTCTTCCATGAACTCTACCAAGCAACGATTTCCTGCTGGCTYCATGTTGAGGTATCTGAAGATGAATCTCTTGATGGCTGTAACTGTGGCACTGAGGATTCTTTGATTATTGCTTTCATCCTGTAAAAATGTATTACCATCCATTTGCTTATTGATATTATCTGGTAATCCTTTACGATATTCATCGCCAACACAGTCAATGGCCTTCACAGCAAGTTTGTCCTCGAGGAATTCATACAGTGCACACACATGTCTGAGTTGAATTGCGTTTTGCGACTTGGGAAGAAGATCTTTTGGGAACGGTCTTGAAGCGGTCATCCATGTTTCAACGTAATCGAGAAGGCTTTCTTCGGGCTTGCCTCCGGTACGTTTAAGAAAGCACAAAACAATCTCCATGTGTTCCAAAAGAACCTGATTATCATCTAATGATTTCCTCACTGATCCAGAAAGCTCTGTTTCGACGCTGCTTGGTAGTTTCTCCTGGGGAATGGCAAAATCCAAGTCATTCAGAATATTTGCACAATCATGGAACAGCTGCTTCGAAAAAACGAACTCGCGCAGGCCTTTCTTAGTCGTCAGATAAGCTTTACCAAGAAGGAAAAGTCCAGCAATGTTCTTCTCTATCTTGGTAATGTCGTAGATAATTTCAGTCCCGTGTCCATACTCGAGGTTATATCGCGAGTGTTCCAACAATTTGTCTGCCCATTGGTACTGAATGATCTCGTTTTCTTTGGCATCCTGAACATGCACCGATGGCAAGCTGCAGATGGCACCATTTTTCCAAAGGAACTGAAGAGCAGGACATTTTCCATTGGCAGCTATGGCCAAGCACTTATCCAGAAACTCGTTTTGCAGCTTTGCTAAGCCAACGAGGGCAGCACACAAATATTGACCCAAATCTTGTCTTTCCACTAAGCACAATCCAACGGGAGACAACTCACTGATGTGTTTGTAATCATCTTCCATATCGTCATTAAAGAGGGGGACAACATTTTCCCATGCCTTGCGGAACTCATCAAATGCTTTTCTCACGGATTCCGCACTTGGGTTGTCAACGTCTATTTGCTTCAATTGCAGCTCTTTTCTGATGACAGCATCGCCAATCTTGCTTTTCTTCACATCCGCTCTAGTTAAGCTTCGACTTAACAAGACATCCACTCGGCGACTCCAAGCGTTAAGAGCTACCAGATTTCCAATGCGATTCAATGTCTTGTGGTAGTCAAGGAACAGTCCAAGAAGTTGGTGATTTTCTTTCACTTCCTCTGAGCTGTTCAAGTAGAATTCTTTGAGTTTTTCAAAAGTGTTCTGGTGCTTTGTTCGGAAAAGTCGTGGTAGATAAGCGCTTCGTGCTGCGATGTCTACGAACTGGGATTCTTCAACTTCGTCGATCTGGTATTCTAGATCCTCCACCTCGCCTTCATTTGCACCATCGTCCTCAGTATCAAGGCCCTTGTTTATAGGCTTCAAGTGGTTTTCGCGAAACCTTTGGACTAATGGCTTTACTCGTTGAGAGAAATACGACTCCCAAGACAACCTCGTCTTCTCGTCATGGGGTAACGGCATACCTAAATCTTCTGTTAGCAATGGCGTTGCTTCTTTAAAAATGTGGTGCAAGAGCGCAATGGTCCGGTCTTTTGTACAGCAAAGTAAAGCACTTAAGACATCCAGATCATCTTGTATGTATTGGAAGCATACCTCAGATGGATTGCCAACTTTCATGAATTCAGACAACTTGTCTGTAGTGAGCTCAAGGGAGTATCCGGCAAAAAGCGCCGCGTGGATGATCAGATGCAGGACTCGAAACTCAACTGGATATAGATTTCTTGTACAGAGCATCTCATCACGCATTGATTCGGGTTGGCAATAGAGATATCCCTTTTGGGATGTTGGGACTGACTCTTTATCTTTCATTCCTTCACTCTCACAGGTATATCCACAGCTGGGACATTTCCTGGTGGATTCCTCTTCCTTTGTTGTGAACCGTGTACCGCAGCTACTGCAGGAGAAAAACAAGATATTTTGACGCGAAGTCGCCTCAAAGTACTTGTAGCATCCGTATCCAGAGGTATTGGCAGGTGCTGCCAAGATGCAAGAATTACTCATCACTGTAGGGTCAACCACGCAGCAGACAACTGGGTTTCTACTCTTCCCATTGTATCTTGATGTAATGATGGCCGACAAATGGTGAACAAGGACAGCAACCTCAACATCTGTGGCTTTATATTCTGGAGTGACTTCCAGCTGCAAGCATTTGAAACTTTCTTGGTTAGCAATTTTGAGTAGAAATCTCTTGTATGGATCTGGGACATCAGCCAGCTTTCCTATTACGTACTGAGCCGCCTCGTCTTCTGTATCTTTGAGGTTACGGATAGAACGAACCAGATAAAACTGTTCGAAAACAACAGCTGCTACTTCCATTCTTCTTTTATGGGTAACCATGATGCTACTAAGAATGCTATCAAGAGGCTTGGAATCAGAACCTGTCACGTGCTTGCCCAAAGCAATTTCTGTTTCGGAGTTGTTAGCGTGACTTTGGAAAGGGTCATAGGCTACTTTCTTTGGGGTAGTGGTTCCTGAGCTTACAAAATTCCTCAAAGGATTAAGCCTTCCGCAACTGTCAATGAGTTGTGTGATTTCATACAAGGACATTCTTTGTCGTAGCTCTTTTACGAGTAAAAGTTTAAGGCTTCCCTTTATGGATGGCAGTTCCTCATTTAATTCCTTAAAAATATCACTCAAAAGCTGGTCATGATTCGCCAACGTGCTCCCCTTTTCAATAAGCAATCTGGCCAGTGCAAATATGAAAGCCCGAAGATAAGACACAGCATAGATAATCCCAAACGTGACATTGGTGTCCTCGTCTTCAGCGAACCCCGACAACACTCTTACGGCTTTGTGAAAGACTTTGAGGACAGGGTCATCAGAGCTGGATACGTTTGTTAAGTTTAGGTCTTTAAAGGCCATTCTATTGATCAGATCACAACAGATGACGTTGAAATGGCAATCAAGTTCCTTTATCTCACTTGCTTGCAGCTCTGTTAGAGCCTCATTTACCTCGATCAGGTTTGGGAAATCTTCCAAAGCATCTGGTGAATCGAGTACTTTTCCAAAATGATCAGAAGAAAAGGCTTCTTTTTCTGTGCGGAAAATTCGGAACAGGATTGGAACTGCCAGTTGTAAAAGCCTCTCATCGTCAGTAGATGATATTCGTTTTAAGATTTCACCCATAAGTGGCGTGTCTGGGTTTGACTCTATACATCTTGCGTAGAACAGGTAAAGAAACTCGTCCAGTTTTTCTTCGTCTTCACCATCCTCTCTAAGATTTTCGATACAATTACAAATTGACTCAAAGATTCTCTCAGAATCCAAAAAGTTCTTTTCTTCCACAAGACTTGCAAGTTCTCCAAGGGCGTATAGAGAAAATGCCATTGCTTCCGGTCGTGAATGAACCAAAATTGACAAATCATAACAGACTTTTAGATAGTGAAAGGCTGGAACTTGAGTACAAAATTTAATAGCGGTCGATAAAACAAAGGTTGTTACACTCCTCCAGGCTTCTATACCTCCAGAAGACTCAATAATGACATCGTTAGGAAACAAAGACGAGCAGATTTCTTGCACCACAAATTCTTCAAAAGTTGTCTCATGATCTTCTTCGGCCTCTTCACCATTTGCTTCGCCCACTTCATCAAAATCTTGCTCATTTTGATCTTCATCACCAAAGCTTTCATCAGCATAATCTTCATCAGGATTGCTTTCTATATCGACAATTTCTAGGCTGTTGTCGCTTTTACTAACATCCACGTTTGGTGCCGGAATATCATTGTCGTTGTTTGTCTCGTTTACCGCCTGAGAGTCATACTCCTGCAGACTTTGTTCAACAGGGTCATCTTTTACGTCTTCCATACTAGAACTAGGTTTCATTATCCCGTCACTTTCCTCATTTTCTCTTGAGTCCTCGTTCTTTATGCTTTCTTCTATTGGCAACTTGATGCTGTTATCTTCTTCTCTGTAAACCTGGCTTTGTTCGTCATGTTCCTCGGGTTTCTTTGTCTTGGATAATTCGTCTAGCTCTTCCGTCTCGATGTCCTCAAGCTCTTTGCCTTCACTGTCTTGGCCACCTGTGTTTCCTTGGTTGGAGCTTTCGAGATTATTCTCTACGATGCCTTCAGGACGTTCTTCCTGCTGTTCATACTTGAGGTCTTCGGCTTTCATAGCTTCCTTTTTCACATCATCAAATTTACTGATTAGATTGTCAACAGACAATGGTACTTTAGGTATGCAAGCTTGTATAAAGTGAAGGAGCGGTGCTATCGTGTCTGCTTCCATCCAAAACAAGCTGTGAAGCTGTGTAACCACGAAAGGAACATCATTGGTCTCTCCTGATGTTACACCTGGCAAATGATCCACGAAATGGGCTTTCAGAATTCTTATTCTTTCGTGTCTGGTCAATTGCTGAGAAAACTCTTCAGATACGATGTCTAGGGCATCATCCAAGTATTCTTGTATGTGAGAGACCAGGTACTCAGAATCAAGCATTTCTGTGATAACCTGCTGCATCTTTTTTGACACTCTCACGATTACTGACTTTTTGGAGGCTTCTGTCAGTTCCCCATTGTCATCTAAAGTGTCTTCTTCTTCAAGGCACTTACTTCTGTATTCTTCAGTGAAAAACTCGTGAAGCCCATCGGCTCTTTTGAAGAACAAAAAGGAAAAGGGGTATTGAAGTTCAAGGTGACTGACACTGACGACCAGAGACTCGGCATCTTGAGGATCAGGAACATCCTGGATCTTGAAAACACTGTCCATACATAATAGCTTCCCGGTCTCTTGTTCAGTCACGTCCCCACATTCTAACATTGATTTCCAAGCTGATTCCTTTTGTATGAAATAGACAATCCTTGCCAAAGGACGACGGACAAGATGTGTAACAAAATACTGCATTGCTTTAACGAGAGTGGAGCAGTTAATCAGTGTTTTGCGGTCACAGGCTACAGACACTTGCCATTGGTCTCGATTTCCCGAACTTGGGTCGTTTTCCTCTTCTCTTATCCACCCAAAACACAATTTCTTGAAGCATTCCATCATTGTGGCAGAAGACGTAATGGAGTCAACTAGGGCAATGGTGTCTTTGAGTTCAGGTTGCTTTGAAGGCGGGTACTTGATACGAGTGAAGCACCATAGTAACTGGTCCGCGGCCAACTTATCAAATGACATGGTTTCCGAGTCCAACACCTTTTCGATTGAGCTTTCAAGTATTTCTTTGATCTGGATCACTGGGGTTTCGAGAACATCAATTACGACCTGTTTCCATCCACTCAAGAAGTTGAATTGCCATCGATAATTGCGTTGATCTTCTTCGTTTTTCACTTCACGTTGGAGATGAATGATAATGCAAACATGCTTTGGGAATTCCGAGCCTTCAGGGGAATCTAAGTATTCTTTTCGCTGTTGCTCAATGGTTGACTTTACTAACAGCATGTGTGCAGCATCAGAATCAGGTCTGCACTGTACTACTAAGAGGTTTGCTTTGGATTCCTTCGTCCAGAAACACTGTATTCTCTTCGACAATTCCTTCTCAGATTTGAAGAAACTCAACTTCTCGGTCTGTACGTTAAAAACGTCTTCATCGACACATTTGGAAATGTCAGTGTGAACGCTGCTATGAGTCATAACTAGTAGTTTCATCATGCGTTTTGAATCCAAATCTGAAGAATGTTGTAGAAAAACTTTCAAACCTTGATGGATAGGCTTTTCAAAGTACTCTTGGTAAATATAATTCACCTCTTCGTCATCACTTTGGTTAAGTTGAGACTTACGAGCTCGAATCACAGCATCTGGTGTGGCCACAAACATCAAATCATCTTTACAACGAGCTATGACAGCTTCTTTGTCAGTGACATCCTGATCTTGGCTGTGAGAGAGGACCAAAGATGGCAGAGTGTCTTCATGGTATCCAGCAAACATGTCCACCTCACTGAACTCTTTCTCGAATCCTGTAACAGTCGAGATGCTCTTTACCCATTCACGTAATTCTTCGATTACTTGTTGCTGTTGGTCATTGAGAACATCTGAGAATCGAAGAAGTTGTTTCTCAAATCGGTTTAAGAAAGGAGGGTCAGAGTAATCAACTTTGTTTTCGTCAACCAACACGATACAACGAAATCCGTCATCGACTTGGCACATTGGGTTGCTGAAAGCTCCTAAGGCAATTCGGCAGTTTTTCTTTCCGCCTACTACGATGTAGTTCTGGTTAAGCATATCATACAAACTTCCATAAATGCCTTCCAGGTCACGTAGGATGAGCACACAATTCTGTTCCATGCACAGGATTATACGGCTGAGGACACGGTGATTATAGTCAGCAGAAAGATCTTCTTCAAATCGACTGCCAAAAATTGTGATCTTTTCTTTATTCAAATCTGCCAGAGTTTGGTCCAAGATGCCGATTGCTGAATCCCCATTTGTGATTATCATCAAATGTCTTGCTAACTTGTCACGTAGATTATCTCGGATAAGTTCTGGGACTGGGAATTCCAGAACTTCCTCGGTGACTTGGTATTTTTTTAACTTTTCCAGGAACAGTGTTTGGAATTCGCCTGTCTCCCTGGAAAGGCCACCAAAATTTCTCTGCATTGCTCTTTGGATGCTTTCATTGTTTTTGTCAGGTTTAGACGCAGACATTTCGAGACATTTGACCATGGAGTAGTAATCCCGGAGTCCGTGAAAGTTGTCGTGCTTCTGTTTTGACTGATACTGATGGTAAGCTTTAGCAAGGCATCTCAGCTGATCTTTACAGCGCGTTTCGTCTGACCTCAAGAATGGACGACCTCCAGGTTTGTTTATCTGCGCTTCTCGAATAGAAAGTCCAGTTTCGTAAAGATCTTCTTCGTCTGGTTCGGGTCGTGAGAGATGTACTGCCCGGTTCATCTTAGCGGCATCCAGAGCCCAATTTGAAATCCCGACTACTGCAACATCGGGGAATTGACCTTTACCAGGTTCCAGAAGACRATGAAGCACTTTTAGAGGATTGAACTTGGAAACCTCTGCCAGTCCTATTTCATCTAACAAAACGACAGGGAGGACGTTTTCAGCTTTTTCTTTGTACTTTTTGGCCTTTTCGAAGACTTTTTCGATGCCTTCTGATGTAGATGATTCAGAGCCTTGGAAAGACACAACGAAAAGTTGTGGCAGTGTTTTCAAGAAATCATCTTTGGAGTCTCTTCCCCGCAGGTTACTCCTGATGACCTGCATTGAGAGAGATTTGCTGCAACCTGGTTTTCCGACGACAAACACTGGCATTTTGTTCAAGATGCACACAAGAATGACAAAAACATTCTCGCGTAGGGCTGCGTTTCTAGCTGTTCCCGGTGGGAGCTCCATTCTAAGAAGCCAGTCTTCCTGCTCGGCTCGAATAATTTGTTCAAACCCATCACTGGGGTGGGAAAACCTGTATCTTCCATTCTTTTCAAAGATTTTAGTCATCTTTTTACAATATCCCCGTCTTAAGTCTGTCGTCGGAAGCCTTGAAAGATAGCAGTGTGCAAGTGACAGCACTATGGCACGATCTTTATCATCATACTGTGATGCTGTCGAGAAGACCATCTGTATGCGTAACGAAAGCTTTGAACTAAAGACTGGCAATCGTTTTTGGAGGATCTTGTAGAACCACTTGATTAAAATCGTAGTACGATGTACATCTCGAAGGCTCACACAGAATGAGCTTTCATCGGCCTTTCTAACAAAATCCTGAGACGCAGCCAGCAATTCCACCAGTAGCTTTTTAAAGCTCACATCAAAGAGCCCCTCGACCATGCGACCAATGTATGCCTTCTCGTCCTCCTCACTTAAAGCTCCATAATCCCATACATAATCGATCATAGTTTCTGGCAATGGATGCACTCGATATACCAACTTTGAGTACTCGTCAAAAGAGGTTTTTCCTCCTAAGCCCGCCGTCATTATTCGTCCAGAGGAGCGTAGACGGTATGGATTGCATGCAGCAACAAAGACGAGGTTTGGAGCTAACGGTTTACCATAAAGAGACCGATGGCATACAATCTCGTTGACCGTTCCAAGGTAGTCACAGGTATTGATTTCATCTAGAAATACCCACAACGACTTGTTTTGTTCCTGGAATGTTCTTGCCTCTTTGTCTTTGGAAGAAATGAAGTCAGTTATTTGCTTTTCGGTTACACCTGCATGGAAGTTGAACACACAGAAAGGGGTGTTACAGGTTAGGGCAAGATACTGAACTAGGCTGGTCTTTCCACATCCAGTTTCCCCCATTATGATAACGGGAATTTTTGCCTGCATTCTTTGTATGATCAAGGCCATCTTCAGGATGTTGTCTGGGGTGAGAGCATAGCCTAGAGACTGTAATTTAGCTTTATCGGGCTTTTCGTGAGCGTCAGAGATTCGCTCTAATCTAGTCTGAAGTTCGTCTTGGCTCATGCTCTTGTAATCTTCCAGTCCTTTACCCTTTCCTTTGATAGATTGGCTTTGGAAGAGATCTTTGACTCCTGGTGGCACCTTGTTCAAGTCTCGGTAAATTGCTGTTACGGCACCAGCTCCATGAAGCATAATCACAAGATGCTCGTTGTCAGACCACTGAATCATTCCCTCTACTCTGTCAACCATTTCAGCGGCGGTCGCCTCCGCTCCTGACTGCATCTTCTTTAAGGCCTCTCTCGCTTGCTCTTCAGTCAGAGCTTCCGCCTGTGTTGCCTTACACGTGGCAATTGATCGTGCTGCAAAACTTGTAGCCACTTCAAGAAGGGCTTTGAAAAGGCGAACACGTACATCATGTGACTTTCCAACCATATCCACGAGGTGCTTTGGTTTGAAATAGGGACTTCTGGTGAATTTCATGAGCTGATCAGCCAGTACTGAAATGAAATTCTCGATAATATTGAACGATAGGTCTTCGCCAGAAAAGAAATGCTTTGACAAAAGTGCTTTGCAGGCTGGGGAACTTAGTGGTTTAACCTTGTTTGGCCCACTCAACAGAATTTCCTGACTTTCAAGTGTTCCACTATCATATGCCTTTAAGTATTGGCAAACCACTTGTACTGGACTTGTCAGCTCTGTGCTGCAGACCAAATTGTTGCAGTCTTTCCAATCCACCGGCAGTTTTTGGAAGCACTTGCAAATGGGCATCGAGTCTCGCATTTTTTGCTGCAATGTGTTCGCGATCTCGATGTAAATATATCTCGATGGTAAGCTGAAAAGTCGGGCTTCTGAAGAAACCATGCCAGTTACAATCAACTCGAACAAAAAGGTATCTAAAGCATTTGGATCATCCACCTCTCCTATGTCAAAGTGAAGTGCCTGGAACTTCTTGATTCGTAAATCAAACAGCCTATCAACCAGGTATTTTCGTGAAAATGGACCACTTATCGGGAAATTAACGAGTGACATTCCTCTTTCTGCAGCACGCGAGAAAACCTCCTCAGATTTTCCAAGCCCCGGAAGGGCTGATGTTACGAAGTAGGTATTTGGAAATTCTTGCTTAAACTTCTCTCTCAACTCTGAATCGGGAATTCCTCCAAAGTAATGTGTTTTATCACCAAACTGATCTGCGATGTGATGGTGTGGCCCACCACGACAGACAACTGCAAGAAGGTACGGTGATTTAACCTCGTCCGTCTGTCTCTTTAATTTGTCCACGAGTTGGAACTGGATGTCGTTGGGAAGACTTTCCACGTTGGCGAGGCAGTGAAGCTTACAGGTAATGCCATGAGAATGAGCTTCAAATGTTCTAGAAAGAAAGAGTTCTATTTCTTCCCATGTTGTCTGCGAGTGGCAAAACAAGAGTTGGCTTGGTTTTGGTAGAGATGCACAAGTGTTCAGGAAAAGTGCTATGATGACATGAACAGTTTGAGCGCTTCCAGGTTCGAGCACGCTCACATAAAGCTTTCCAGGCTCGACAATGGCGTCAATTTTCAAAGTCGATGCAATAACTGGAAGAGGTTTCTGTTGGGGCCTGAATATCTCATTTAATGCAGATCCAATAGCTTCAAGTTCAATCTGGATCTCACTGTTTTTTGGCGGGGGCTTGTACCTAGACTGGAAGGATGACAAGTCTTGCTTGCTAACTTGGCTATCGATACAGTGAAACAAAGCCAGTACTGTGTCTGAAATCTTTTTTGCAGATTGCGAATTTTGGAAAAACGATTTTAGGTCCCACAGTTGCGTTGCATGAAAATAGTTGAAGAAGAAGTTCTTTTTACGTACATCGTGCAACATGGAGTTCCATTCTGTAAGTTCTTTTTCTACCCGTTCCTCCTCTCGCTTGATCTTGTCGGTCGATTCCATCTTGACCCAAAACGACGTTCCATATTTGGGAATTCCTGACCTTCTCAATGCATCGTATTTACGAGTAATCTCGGTGATAAGATCGACCTGCTCAATAAACTGGTTCAGTTCATCGGACGTGATGACACTAGCTTCTCGCTCGACCTCATCAACGTTTGGTTTGTCAGCATTTACGATCAACAGAGCACGGCTTCTGAAGTCATTTAGTTCATCCATATTGTACTTTGCCTCGGCATTAGTTTGACCTTTACGGGTATAAGTCAGACGTACATCACAAGTTCCATCATCTGTTATACCAACTTGGTAACATCCATCATTGACAGCACTTTTAATTATTTCCTTGGTCAATTCACCTCGGTTGGACAAAGTCATGTAGAGACCTCGAAGGCTGTGCACGTTACAGCTACACACCTTGATTTTTGCAGCCATTTTTGTCTTCAGTGTTCCACTTTTGTCGAGTTTCCTTAAAATGCCAGAGTGGTCCTTAGTTAGGTTTTCGTGTGCTTTAGCAATTTTGTCCAGGAACTTTTCGGGGTCATCTGGTTTGCTCGAAAGCAAATCACTTAAAAACCTGTGAACATCGATGAGGTCAGACACCACTGACTCTTGGATGAGCTGATCTGAATGTTCTTCGACAGCATCAACCAAATCTACCATATTGTCTTTAGCAGTTTTGATTATGAAATTCGTAAGCTCGGTTGCTTCTGATAACTCACTTAGGATGTCGACTAGATCTGATTCTAATTGATGGTCAAGCTTCATAATTCTCAAGTTATCAACTTGTTTTGCAATGCTTTCCAAACTTCCTGATTTTTTGCATTTCACGAACGCCTCAAGATTTTGAACGAAAACAAACGAATCGCCATTTGCTGTCTCGTAACCTAGAGTTTTCAAACATCGCAGTGCTGTTTGGATTCGTTCTTTTATATCTTCAAACCTCACGTAATTGTGCAGCATACGCAAAATGTTATACGGTAGGCGACCCTTTTCCAGCAACTTGCCAATGACCTCAAATTCCTTGTCAATGTCTTCTTTCTTGATACTCTCCAAAAGGGTGTCGAGTTCTTCAGGCAATATTTCCTTTTCCAAGATTTTATCATAAGCATCAGTAATCTTATAAACACAGTCGCTTTCAAGTAGCACCAAAACCTCTTTGACAGTCATGCCATTATCTGGGACAACGGAAGGAATGGGTTGGTTGTCAACATTCTCACTGTCTTCTAACCACTCGTCCTCGGCCAACATTTCTTCTTCGATTCCGTTCTTCTTTTTGAGGGCACCCTCTTCTATTATCTTTTCTGCAAAGTTCACGAAAAGAATTGAGGAGGTAAGACGGCGTTTGTGCAGTTTCTCGGAGGGTTCTACCAGACCTTTAAGGCATCCCCAGAAATTCTCCTTACGAATGTCCACAAACAGTGTCTGGTGATAGATCTTTCGGCAGTCATTATATTTCTCGATAACATCCTGATAATCTTTGACATTCACTAAATCTCCGCTTCTTGTAACTCTATTAGTAAGATCTATAGCATCTTTGAGGCAACTGAAAATCTCATCGTACCTTTTCCTCTCCTGGGTAAGAATTGCAATCTTTTCTTCCCATAGACTAACCTGTGACACGTCTGAACGGTCACTGGGGCCAGTAGACCATCTTGCTAAGGCTAGCAACTCTGCAACATCTTTTTGATCCTTCGGGTTCTTCAGATATCCCACTGGAAGTTCGCCAGTCCTGATCGATTCACTAAACCATGCAATCGCCTGTACAACAGTAACGAAGTGAGGATGGGCGTGAAGCCGATCTGCTTTTCCTGATGCCTGGAAAATAACCGTCCACAATTTCTTGTCTGCTAACACAGGTTTTATTACTTTACCAATTGTGCTTTGATCGATCTGCGACTTGAACGCTGGCATCTTCGTCTGGTTAAGAAGGATGAGTAAGATCTCTTCCCGTCCCCTGCAAAATGAAACAACAATGTTACAACAATATAAACACTGGATCAAGAAGACTTATACTTTTAAGCTATATAGACGTACCCATCGATATGGATCTCTTGGTCGAGATTGGCTGAATGCTCGCCACTTGAGGAACATATGACTTCAATCACTTTTGATCTCACGTCGGTTTTCACGTCAGGTTTAGAACTTTCTGTTTGCACAGCGCAGGTCAATAATTTCATGTACCAATCTTTGACCGTTTTCGATAATGACTTATGAATGTCTTCATAGGCATCTACGATGGCTCTTAATGCCAACTTCTGGGTTTGCAGAATGACCGCCTTGCCAAGAATATCGATAAGCCTTCCTGAATTCTTAAACAGACGCATCTCGATTGCTTCTTGTAAAATCTTGAAAGCCCTCACTACTTTTTCTTTGTTAGTAATTGCTTCCTGTCTGGATTGGACTTTGTTAAGGACGAAGTCGTGCGCAATATCTTGTTTTGTTTTTTCATCTTGCGCTTCCCAGAGTTTGTTAAAGTTGTGAGATTCCAAAACTGTATGAACAATATCGAGCGCTGCAGTGTCCTTGGAACTTGCTAGGTGTTTTACAAGTTTGATGATACCGGTCGAAGCCCATTCTTGAAGTGTTTTGTCGAGACATAGTTCTGCCAGATTTGACATTTCAAGCGTCCTAGTGCTCTTGACTTGGTCCATTAGCGCGTCACAGAACGGGACAGCTAAACTGTATTTCAGCCCACTCGGCGTTGTTTTCCACATCGCTGGCTCGGAAAGTAAATGAAGCTTCGATCCCTGGTTGAGAAAACCTTTAAATTTCTCGACAAATACTTCGTCTCTTAGTGGTTGCTGTAGGGGATTTTCGTTTAATAGTCTGTATATTGTCCATAGAGAATCCACATTTGGGGCATGCATTACAATATACTGTGAGATGCTTGTTCTGTCCTCTTGGTACGGAAAATTTGGCAAAGAACGAAGAATTATTTCCGTAGCAGTGGCTTCGAATTCCTTTGGATTGAAGGGCGGTCTGAGATCATAAGCAGCGCGAAGCACAACATCGCTTTTGAAAAAATGTCCAAAGGTCAGGATGTATTCCAGACTATTATAAGCTGAACTTGCGTCAAGGAGGTTAAAGTCAATGTCCTTTATGGCATTTAGTGAACTTTGGGCTAGAATACTGGAGGGACACTGACGTAGATTATGCTTGAGCAAGTCGGCACTAGTCTTATCACTGGAAATATCTCTACTAAGAGATAAATTGAATCCGAGTCTTCTGTAATACTGTCCTAAAAGAGCGCAAATATATGCACTTTTGTAAGGTGAAAACTGATCACTTTTTATCGACGTTTCCACCCATTCGAAAAATTTGTGTCGATCCTGTAATCTATAGCTCTGATGACCAAACCCCACATGGTCACACTCGATCATTAGTGCCTTCAAGTTGTGCCCATAGCTGTCTATTTTCTCGTACAGCATTTTGACGAAATAAAATTGGCCAGCAAAAATACTGTCCATGTAGCGGTCATTTCCGGGTTGCTTGAATACGTCATACTGATTTTGTCTACCGCTAAATATTTTCTTGTACTTGTTTTCTGTCTTTATAACTTCTGTTGAGGTACCCATACTTTTTAGAAGGCTAAGAGCTTTCCCGGCAATTCCTTGATGAACTTTGACGGAGTATTTGTATCTCAAAGAATCAAGATCAGCGGACTTCAGGTAAACTGCCTGCGATTGCCAGTAGTGGCCGACTTTTCCTCCATCACAACAAGACAATGTCAATGTTAAACCTGTGTCTATTGGCTTTTCGAACTGTAGAAAAGCTTTTTCAGCCTCAAAGTCAGCGACATAAAGGTGAAACACAAAGAATGACCCCTAAAAATATAAAGGAAGCGCCGTAAGCACTCAAGAAGTGTGAGAAGCATTCGCCTGTGTCTCGTGCTTCTCCATACACTTCTTCTTCCTACGTGCTTTATTACTGAACGGAGCACTTTTTTATCCGTTAATTAACTTGCTCTTTACAGCTATGTAATTATAATTTCTTCTGTTTTGTGAGTTTAGGAATTTAGGAATGGCTTAATAATTACTGTGGTTTTACATATCCTACAAACTTGGTAGTTGCGACCTGAACGCTGAAATTCAATTTTCCGCTGCCATCAATCGAAAATAATCAGTCCGTACCTTTTATAATCTTGACTGGCAGCAGTGAAAAACCAATTTCACAACAAGCTGTTGAAATGTCGGAGTTTGCAAGATATCAGAAAACTGCAGTCAAAGCTCATTATCCAATAATGTACCCGGCAGGGAATTGGCCTGCAGGACATCTAAAACAGGAATAGCAGAAAACCCCTCTTAAAAGTCTCTACTCTAAAATTTACCTTCATGTCACTTGGATCAGCCGTTGTTCCCACATTTCCTCCTTCATGATAAGGCTCAGTTTCCATCTCTACCACATGATTACTTTGTCCTGGCGAAGAATGGTCTGGATCAGATCCACTTGAACCAGGACATCTAGAATAGTAGTCCTGAAATGTATTTCTAGCTGTTTGCTGCAATCCTTCATATCTGGTGTTAAAACTTGTCCCTTGACCTGGGTCATGTGCATCATGTCGCTCACTCATCATATGGTGCTCTCTTCCTAATCAGTCTCTTTGAAAACAGTAAAGAAGAATGTGAAAAACTTTATTTTATAATACAAATACAATAATCCTCAGTTTAATGAATCATTTTCAAGTTGCTTTTGAAAACTTCATATAACTATATGTTAACACTACCAAAATAGCCAGGAAACAAATGTTTCTTAGGTTAAATGATTGGAATTAGGGGTTGGCCCATTTTAGGCACCACAACCCACCTTAATCTTGGTCAGTGAAAGAGGTTCCTCTAAGGCCAGCCTGTTTACATGGGAAAAGGGTGCCCCTAGGGGATAGGGTCGCCCTAACTGGTAGTGCTGAAGATACCGAGCGTCTACATGATAATTTGCAACCCTAGGCCTAGGGTTAACCCTACTAGGTAGGGGCGCTCTCCCTCATGTAAACAGGCCCTATTCCTGAATCTACCCTTATAGGTGTGAAACAAAGAAAGAAACACTTGACATGCCCCCTGGATGAGAGGGGAGTACAGGTAGAGTAGCAGAGAGTGCCCACCTCTCATCAATGTGACCAAGGTTCGGTGTTGTATGTGAGTAGAGTTTCTAGTTGGTTCTTTTCTGTGCTTCGAGGGTTTTTCTCCAGGTTCTCTGGTTTTCTTCCCTCAACAAAAATCAACTCCTTAATTTCATTTTGATCATGGAATAAGGGCTGACTTTCATAAGGACCACATTCGCTCACATTGTAAACTATGAATTACTAACATGGATAACTAAAAAAAACATTAATAATTTTCAATTTTAATAGACCCCTTTCAAATTCCATATTACCACTGTGTCTCTTGATTACAGACTCATTTGCACAGGGTTAGCCTCGAGTTTGTGCAGAATATTCACGTGTTCCAGTTGTGCATTCTTTACTCAGCTGTTGGAATTTGTGAATATTTAAACACTGATACAAGGCTAACCCTGTGCAAATGAGTCTGTAATCAAGGAACACAGCAGTAATTTGGAATTCGAAACTGGTCTATTATAAATTTTTTTTTTGAAAAACTTATTTAACAAAATGACACTGTAATGCCTGACTAGGATAAACATTCACAGACCGCCTGATTAAACATGCAAAGTTTGGATTTCAAACACAAGTCACGCTTCTTCACAAAATGACAAGGCCATTCCCATATTCATTTTTGTTTCCCATTGCTTAGAGTCTTCCTTGGGTGGGTCGGTCGGTCAGAAAAAATAAATAATAAATAAATAAAAAAAAGAAGAAATAAAGTCAAAACTGGATACCTGTGGAGGCCTGGTTTTTGTTCTAGTTAAGGTTACTAAGCTAAAAACTTGCAAACCCACTGAAGATGTCTTCTTAAAGTATAGTGCTGTTATACAGTAAGGCTAAAAAAAACATACAACTATTCTTGATCAACCAAAACTTAAGGTCCTTGAAGAAGATGACACACTTTTTGCTGTATTAGAGAGCTTTTATATCGGTACACATGTGAATTCAAGTGGCAAAATAGGATACAAAAAACTGGAAGAAGCTGTGCCGAAAGATTTCATAGAAGTTGATCTACACGATACAATTCAATCGACTATGGAGGCCATCAGGGCAAACTTTATTGATTTTGAGTTGATAGAGGATGATGAAGAAGACGGCTGCCCCCAACCAAAAAAACCAAAGCTAAATGCCTTCGAGCTGTTGATGAAAACTGCTAGTAAAAGAATTCTTCCACCAGAAGACAAAACTTCTAATCAGCTTATTCTCTCCACAATAAGCCTTTTCATAGTTTAAGAATCGATTCCACTGCGCATGCGATTTTATCCCGAATTTCTCACCTTCTTTTGTTTAATTAAGAACAAAAGAAGGTTTAGACAAAGGAAGGTGAGAAATTCGGGATAAAATCGCATGCGCAATGGAGTCGATTCTTAAACTATGAAAAGGCTTATTGCCTTTTAGAGGTAGTCAAAGCAATTTATCCATAAGCTGGATTTACACAAGATGAAATAGCATTCGTGGGTACATTTTTGTAAAGAATGACACTAATTAAGTAAGAATATAACTTAAAAAGTTAATGCTGTTGATATTGAATGTGTGACGAATATTGTTCACTACGATCCATTCGTCTATATTTTTTAATTCGTTTTAACATAAATAGGAATACCATTCTTTAAACGCACGGTCAACATAGCCTGGTATCTCAATCCACATCACCCTAAATTTGTGGATAGAAGCCCGAAGATTCTTAATGTCATACTTTATCTGTATGATGATATTCAGTCTTGTAACTGAACCACTGATAGTGCAAATAAAGTGATATGTTTTTGTTATTTGTGGAGTTCTTATTCATTTTATCCTTTTTAAACAAATACTCGTGTTATATTTTTCTTTTTTTTTTTTTTTTTGCTATTCATTCCCATACTTAAAATATTTTATTTTTTTCCTGATTTTCGAAAATCAGAGTCGGTCAGGTAACGGGAAACAAACAAAAATATGGGGATGGCCCAACTAAAAATACATAGTATGATAACCAGATTCCGTGCACTCGAAACCTTTGGAGGTGCCCCCCCGCTCCGCCCGGGATGTGGTTCTCCCCCGGAAATGCGACTTCCGCCTCGAGAGTGAAAGTTGCTAGCCGTGCCAACGGAAGGGACTTTTAGCGGCGCTACGAAGTGAAAGTTGTCTTCGGTCGGAACTGTCCCACGGGATTGTTCCCTTCCTTTGCTACCTCGTTAAACTTCTAACAGATAAATGAAATCGTAATGAACCAAGTCTCAGTACTCAATCACTAATAAATTTACAAACAACTCAGTCCTATGGAGGACAAGAAACATAACCCCTACTAGCAGGATACAATTCTCGAAACTTTAAGCAGAAATACAACTAAAACAATTACGAAACCTCGCATCGAGCTTCAATGCCGAAACAAGATTAAATTTTAAGCTCCGTTGAAGCATAAAGTAAGTACGAGCCACTCTATTCACTACAAGTAAAATTGATTGTTCGACTAAGTTACTGGCCGGGTAGTGTTTTGTCTTGGAATTTCAAGATCATGCAGTTGATCCTTTATAAACGAAAACTCAAAAAAACACTACTTACCTAAGAGAAGAAGTCTTCTGTAGAGATCATGTTGGCGTAGTCACTTTATTAATTCCAAGGAATCAGAGACTTCCCAAAAGGCAAGAAATCTGATGATTTGAGCAAAAATATGCAAGTTGCGATTTCTTGGAAACTGTTTGATTGCTCTCCCTTTTCTTTCCCCTGATTGGCTAATGTTTCGGGATCATTCTCGAATCTTATCCATATTTGGTCATACCATTGTCTGCAATATTGACTGACATCGAAACATACTCACTATCGTTTTCCAAGAAAAGAAATCATACTTTGCAAAATAGCGGTGCGACGCATAGTTTGATTGCTTTTCTTTTAAAGATTTTGATCTTAGAGGTAGCTGATCTAGCTGGTAAGTAAATTATTTGAAATATGCGACTGTGTTCGATTTTATGTCCTCAAAAATTTGTTAATGGTAGAGGAGGAAGCAGACCTTCGTCGCACAATGCAAAACAACCCGGGAAAATAACCGCGTCTTAATGGCAGAAAATCCCTAGCTGAAGCCAGAATATTACAAACCCTCCTCAGGGACTAGTCATCTCCTTACATTATACATGAATATCAGGATAGTGCAGGTATATCTAAAAAGCAACTCTTCTAGAGGAGGTATAGGCCGAAGGACTAAATCCCAGAGAAATCAGACGAATGATCGTCAGGGGGGAGCCAGACAGCCAACAGAAGGAGGGAAGGAACCAACCAACCTTCTTGACGCAAGAAGGTTTAAAACGACTCCTCTTGCAATGGGACTGAAGAGCTGAACTTCAATGAATTACGGATGGGAATTTCCCTTCCCTAACAGCAACATTTAAAAAAATTAGTTTCTTTTCAAATTTTATCGTAATATTACTTGGTAGCTGCGAGCAGTAGTATAGGGAATGGGGGTTCCAGCGCAATCTCAACACGGGCAAGACCCGTGTCAAAAATCCACCTACGGAC